GGCGTAATGCCCAGACTTTCCACATTTGAAGCAAGTCACCCCCCTTCCAGAGTGCTTATTTTTTCACTTCACGCACCATCTTTCTTTACCTCCTCCTTTTCCAGACTTTGAGAACATGTTGCTCTTGTTGGACCTTGAAGACCCCTCAAATTTCCTCTTCTTGCCAACTTCAACCTTGTTGGTAGTCCTGTCGTTGATCATTTCTTCAATAGACTTAGCAACCCAGATGGTTGCCTCAAGAGTTGGTGCTTGGCGTACCGGCACAGTAAGTTCGTCCTTACTTTGTTACAGTAAACGCCTTGTCTCTTTCATCTGTTGATCCAACATCATCCGCACCATTGCATATACTCCTGCCATCGTGATTGGTTCAGGTGCAACTGCTACTCCTGGTGCTTTCTCAATCACTTGTGGCTCAGGCTGCGGGTTACCGTTTCCGAATCCACTTCGAGTGCTCACCATGTCGATCTATACACCAAAATCAGACGTTCGACGTGTAGTGACGGGAATTTAGATAGAAAAGATTTATTTATGATAGACGTATAAATCTCCTTATTACTCCGAAAAGTTACATGCCAGTTCCTAATTCCGTAATCAAACGTTTAGAAACCTGTACACACAAAATTTCCAGATCCGGTCGGCAACAGACCATAGATCTGGTAGCATCATAATTCATTTAGCACATAAAGCAATTTAGACATCTTTCCTAAAATAAACTAGTGCTTGTGTCTAAAATATGGTAGACACTCATCTCACAATCACCGCTTAGCATTCTAAGTTTAAGTCTAGAAATCCTACAAATTCTTAGTTCGCTTAAATTAATGCTCTGATATCAACTGTGACATCCTCATTTTTACGGCCAGAAAAGACCGATTTAGTTTATGCTTTTTAATAAAATCAGAGTAACTTCTTAAGAAAAGTGTTGCGAAATTTTGTTCCCAGAAAAACATGATAAATATGTTATCAAAGCATTTCCGAAGAAATGTATTTTATTCTTTTTGAAACCTTGGGATGTCAACGTCAATACAGAAATATAAGCATAAACAGAACTTACATTCCTAGTGATCTACATCTCTTTAATCCCTCAGTGTAGTGTAGCTTTATACCGACACCTGTGATACAAATAAACTGAGTGGGTCAGGTTGGGAAACCTGGTGAGTACATAGGATTTTCAACCCACAATAATAAAGTTATTATGTTTTATCATCAAACAATTAACCCAATTACCCATCTCCATTAACTTCTTTAATTCCTAGGGATCTACCCTAAGAATCATCTATCACTTATTCCTAAGGGTTTTCCTAAGGAATAGGCACGAAGTCCATCGTCGCCAAGGTTTATACAACAGACACTAAGTCCATAGCTGCCAGGGTTCATCCAACGGGTGCTAAGTCCATAGCTCTCATTTATCGACAATATTATTTGCAATGTCCACCTGCAATACATGCCAATGGGTTTTTAGAGTACACCGGGTGAACATATCGTTCACAACACCTACAGGTAGCGAGCCTGCTAGTGTTCACAAGACTGTCTAGAATAGTCCGTGGTTGTCATCCGTACTCTGCTAGATGACGGGGCCATCGTTTGGGTAAAGGTTCCTCTCATTTTTCACCTCTCACCCTCATCTCATAATCTATATTACCTTTTATCTCATCCTCTAACTCATCTTTCATCACACACCAACTATTTCATCTACCCATGTTTTACCCAACATATTTGTAGATATAAAATACATATACAGTTCAGATCTGAAAAAGTAGTTTAGATCCGTAAAGAAAACACATATACGGTTCAGATCTGAAGAAAAGGTCTAGATCTGAAAAACAAAGTTTAAATATTTCATCCATCATAACTTTTAAAGCATAAAATACATATACAATCTAGATCTGAAGAAAAGTTCAGATCTGGAAAGAAAGAAGTTTAGATATTTCATCCAGCACAGATCTTAAGTACAAAATACATATATATAGTTTAGGTCTAAAAAGTTTAGATCTGAAGTGAGAAAGTTTAGATCTGAAGGGAAAAGTTTCAGATCCAAGAGAAAAAAGTTTAGATCTGAAAGATAAAGTTCAAATCTGAAAAGAAAGAAGTATAGATCTTCATCCGGCATACATCTCAGGTAAACAGGTAATATATATATATATATATATATATATATATATATATATACACATAGCATGTAATTTATATAAAATACTTCATATCTATGTGTAAGATGAAAATGACTATGCACTCACCTGATATGGTGGTGATAACTTGAACAACACTTCACTCCTTAAAAACATGATTTCCTTTGACGAAATCGGGAAGTTTGCTTGAAAACCGGGCTCTACACGTGCAGAGTTTCAAACCGAAAAACTCTTTTTCTTGGAGACTCCGGGCTCTCCGAGGCTTCCTTCTAGAGCTAGAAAGGTTTCCTAGGCTTCTTGGGGTGTTTTGGGAGGTTTAGAGAGCGAGTAGAGAGAAGAATAAGTGGGTTTTGGTATGAAAAATGAAGGAACTCTCGGGGGGTATTTATAGGCTGAAAAGGGGTGAACTCGTCGAGTTTCTGGCCTAGTGAAAAACGTGGTCTACAGACCTAGTGAAAACGTGGTCTTTGTAGCACGAATGGAAGTCTTTCGCGAGAGAGAGCTCATATGCAAAGAGGACAGCGGGAGTACAATTGATCTTGAAGAAATTCAAGAGTCAAACGATGAAAGAACCTCTAACACTAGCGCTCAATCCGAGGAAGAAATTTCTGTTGAACCAATTGACGACTCGTTACCTCTTAGACGTTCTAATATTACTATAGATGGTGATACGTTTATCGGTGATAATACATTGATAAATTTGGATGAGCCTTCTAACTACAAGGAAGCCATGGCAGGCCCTAAGAATGCCAAGTGGAAAGAGGCAATGGACAGCGAGATCAAGTCTATATATGACAACCAAGTTTGCAATTTGGTTGACAAAGTACCAGGTCGTAAGACAGTTGGGTGCAAATGGATCTTCAAGAAGAAGACCGAAATGGATGGAAAGGTACACACTTTCAAGGCATGACTGGTTGCGAAGGGAATTACTCAAACCTCAGGGGTTGACTATGATGAGACCTTCTCACCAGTGGCTAAGATTAAATCTATTAGAGTTATGTTAGCCATAGTTGCATTTCATGATTATGAAATCTGGCAGATGGATGTCAAAATCGCTTTCCTTAATGGAAAGTTGGCTGCGGATGTTTACATGAGTCATCCATAAGGTTTTGTGGATGCTAAGTACCCCAATAGAGTGTGTAATCTTGAGAAACCAATCTATGGATTGAAACAAGCTTCTCGCAGATGGAATCTTTGCTTTGACGAGAAGGTTAAAGAGTTTGGCTTCTCTAGAAGTGAGGATGAATCTTGTGTATATATCAAAACTAGTGGGAGTATAGTCACCTTTCTGGTATTGTATGTTGATGACATACTACTTATAGGAAACGACATTCCAACTTTGCAAGAGGTTAAGTATTGGCTTAGAAAGTGTTTTGCTATGAATGATCTGGGAGAGGCTGCTTATATTATGGGAATAAGGATTTTGAGAAATAGGAGTAGAAGACTAATTGGACTTAGTCAAAGCACATATTTGGATGAGGTGCTAAAGTGTTTTAGCATGGAGAATCCAAAGAAAGGAGAGTTGTCTATCCAGAGCAATACCAAGCTGAGTAAGACTTAGAGTCTGAGTACCGATGCAGACATAGAGGAAATGAGTCGAGTTCCATATGCTTCCGCCGTTGGATCAATCATGTATGCTATGACATGTACTCGCCCTGACATGGATTTTTCTTTGAGCATGGTTAGTCGATATCAGGGAAATCCGGGTAAAGCTCATTGGATAGTGGTATAGAACATTCTTAAGTATCTGCGAAGGACTAAGGACTGAGTCCTTGTGCTTAGAGGGAGTGATGACTTGAGAGTTACTGGGTATAGCGACGCCAACTTTCAGACCGACAGATACAACTTCCATTCTCATTCAGGCTGGGTGTTTACCCTTAATGGAGGAGCAGTGACTTGGAAAAGTTCCAAGCAAGAGACGGTGGCTGATTCTACTTGTGAATCAGAGTACATCGCAACGAGCGAAGGGTCAAAAGAGGCTATATGGTTGAAGAACTTCATTGGAGACCTTGGAGTTGTGCCAACCATTAAGGAGCCGATGGAGATTTTATGCGATAATGAAGGAGCGGTTTCCTTGACCAAGGAACCAAGAGATCATGGGAGATCCAGACATATCGACAAAAAATATCACTTTATCAAACATCGAGTAGAAGAAGCACACCTCGTCTTAAAGGGGGTATCATCTGAAGAGAATCCAACAGATCCCCTCACAAAGGGTCTGAGTAGGGTTAAGCACGTTCAACATGCGAGGAGCATTGGTCTAAAGGATGATATTAGTTTTAGTGATTAGATAGATACTTAGAAACTTGTAATAAACACTACAAGAAAAAGACCATTTTACGACGTGCAAGCCACGACACTCATTGATTTATGTTACGCAAAAGAGAGTGACATTAAAAAAGTGTCGTCTCTTCAAAAAATTAAAGGATTTAGGTCACGCATTATTGCGTGCCCTTAAATTAGTGTCTAATGTAAAAAAAAAATAAAAACACGGAGGGCACTTTATCTAAAATGTGCATCCTCTGTGAATGTCACTTTATGATTTTTACAGAAAACGCGCGTTCTTAAAATTCTAAAATTTTTCAATACCCCGCTCTTCAAATCCCCCTTCATTCTCTTCTTCCCTTCTCTCTGCAAACCCTAATCACGATACCATCTCTGCTAGCATCAAATATTCCGCTTCTGGTTGAGTTTGGGTACTTCAAGGACTTTTTGGAGATCCTCTATAGGTTGATTCAAGGTTCCGATGTGCGTAAAATTGCAAAAGATGAATGGACATTGAAGAAATTGGTGAAAGGAAAAGGTGAAGTACGGAAGCAATACTTCCTCTCGAAGAAGAAGACGAACAGAAAGCAGAAAAAGAACAAGGCCGAGATGGAGATGAAAGCGAAATTAAGGGCAAAAGTCCCTCGAGAGCAAAGGATCGAGGCAAATAGGGCACATATGAAGGTGGAGCAAGAGAGAGCAAAAGCGTCTAGGAAGGAAAAGATATCCGCCATGGCCGAAAAACTACAGGATAGATACAATTCAGATGAAGATTATAAGAACTTACACGATCAGGTATCAAGCTTCTTCGCATATCGTTTAAAATCTGATATTCAATCGTTGAATTCCGGTGATTCTACCAAAATCAGTTTAGCTGCAAAATGGTGTCCTAGCGTTGATTCCTCTTATGATAATGCTACACTGATTTGTGAATCAATTGCTAGAATGATTTACCCTAGAAATTCCAATCCAGAATTCGATGGTCTTGATGACACTAATTACGTGTTCAAAATCAAAAATCAATTGAGGAAACAAGTACACTTTATTTATTATTATAAGTTATAACTTACTAAAATTTTGATGTTTTTTTTTAAATATTATCTATACAGGTAAATCTGATTTGAAACAATCAGATTCATCAAAGGAAAAGGAAAAGAAGGATGATGGGTCCCCTGGTGCATTGACGGTTTTGCCACTGTATGCGATGCTTCCTGGATCTGCACAGCTTCGTGTGTTTGAGGATATGAAGGATGGAAATGACGAATCAGTCTCTGTTAGGTCAGTTACTGATGCACGCCCACAAGGTGCTTGACATAATGTCTATGTTAGGTTTTCACCCAGATGAGACCACTTTTGGCTACCATGCCTATCGATATGCACCAAAAGGACTCGAGAACAAGATAACTGAACTACAAGTGCAGAATCAAGCAATTTTTTTATTCTTTAAATGCAGAATCAAGCAATTCAGACTGCAAGAGCTGCTAGGGAATTAACTGTGAGAGAAGCAACTCCGCTGCAACAAGAACTGGTAAATTTACATCTTTACCCTCAACCTATAAATTCGTTATATTACTGAACCCTAAAAAAATTGCTTTCAAGTTGAATTATTATATTAAAGTGTAATAACAAACTAATCATTTTAATTTGATTTCCTATTAGGAAATGCTAAAGAAAAGGAACCAAAAAATCAGCTCCAGCAGCTGGATTCTTGTTAAAACTGGCGATAATTACTGGAATCATTGGGATACTGCTTGTTATTCTGTTGTTAGTTCCTTTTTCTATGATGTTGTTTCTACACTTGGAAACAATTTATTCAAATAGTGGGACCTTTTCAGGTCTCAAATCAACCACTTGGAAAGCACTAAAGGTTTGACTTTTGTTTATTATTCTGAATAGCTTTTATTAATCCTTGTAATTATACTTTTATCTTTTTTCCTATCAGATGTGCATCCTCAGTTCAGTCCTTGATAAGTGCCTAAGGCTGCTTGGTTTTGAGTCAGCAGCACCTTGCGAAACCTCTTGCAAACTCAGGTATGTAGCTTTATACCCTGCTCTTGTTTTCTACTATTAGAAGATCATATGTCTTGATTTCATGCATAACAATAGAGAGATATTGCAACATCTTTAATAGATCTATGTAGCATTATAATCCTTCAAAAGGGATGGAAACATATGAGGTGCAGTGGATAAGCAAAGAAAACTCTTAATCCCAATGATGTCTATTGAAGTAATAGTGAAAGTCATTTGATACCAAATACTCTTAGATCACTGAACTACATAAACCCTCAAATATTTATGAAAATGGAGCTTTTTATGCATTGCAAATAATCATGCGAAGATCACTGAACTACCAAATACTTTCTACTACTTTGTGACTTTTTCCCCTGAAACTTTAAATAACAGGGAAAGGAAAGCATTCAGAACATTCTGGAGACTTTAAAAGAAGAGGGATATGGGTACACAGAAGATTTCGGAAGTTTTAGTCATGTTTCTTGTAGACGACTTGGTCGTTTACTTCCAGATGCTCGTTGGGTGAGTTGAAAGAAATGATAACTTATGACACCTTTAAGAATAAAATTTAAGAATAACATTTAAAAATTTAATAAATCTACCTTTTAATTAGGCATGGTTGCCATTCATGGATTTCAGACAAAGACCAGGGCACAGAACACAAGTTTTGAAGAGAAGTTGCATGAGAGTTAAATGCTTTATTGGTATATCCAATCTTCTCTATATCTCTTTTAAAATCTGCACTTCTTTTCATTATCATTATGTTTTGAGCCCTAAATTTTGTGATTTCTAGAGACGGATGCTGGCTTCAATCCAACACCTTCTAAGGTAAGTGTTTTTTGCTTCCATTTTTGGTCATTTTTAAATGTACACAATCATACCTTATGTCCATTTTCGTCTTTTTCTTTTTTTAGACGGATTTCGCACATCAGAACCCTTTTGCCAATGCCTTGAAAACCTTGGGCACTAAGCAACCTCCAGAGAAAGAGATGGGTAATTGAATTTAATTCTAGTTGAGTATAAACATGATGCCAACATTGAATTACAAAAAAAAAACTTTAAAAAGGTTCATCAACAGGTGTCCACATTGATATAAGAAGAGATGGCAAGCCGTTGACCCTTTTGCAGTTAGATAAGCAGTACCAACAGTGGCTTGTCCAAATGCATGAAAAATATGATGAGGAAGTCGACTGTGGAATTGATGAGCCTGTCTTCATAGTAAATTTTACAAACAAGGAGCTTCACATAGCTAACAATGGTGAAAACTTAAAAAAATTGACTCCATGGCATTGATTTTCTGATACTCATGTTGGTTTTGGTTGCAGTTGTTAGGGTTCACAAAGCTGTAATGCGGAAAGGAAAATCTTAGGATTCAGGGCAGGAAAATCAAGATTCTAAAAGGAGCATGTGCTGGATTCAACAAAACTAATATCTATGCTACATTGGAATACATCGTTCTTGAAGGATTTCAAGGGGATGCAGGTGAAGCATGGATAATTTGCAGGTGGACTATCTTATTATTAATATCATCTTTATTTTATTCTATCTTTTTAGTATCTGACAGTTTTTTTGGTTCAAATTTACAATTATAATCCTCTTGTTTGGAAATTGGAAGGCAGATTGAGGTGTCAGAAGAAGATGGCTGTCTCCTTGAATCTGCTAATGGAAATCCCATTTTTGATTTGAGGAAATCTGAATTAGTACCTATAAATGTCATTGATTCTGGAAAGGTTAGGAATTTTTTTTATAACCCTAGGGGTTGTTTCTTTAGTTTTAACTTAATGGGTTAAGCACTTAATCTGGACAACTAAATATACATTGCTATTTTTTTGACTTAATCTGGACAGATTGGCTTTATGGGTTAAGCCAAAAAATATGGCTTAATGTGTTTAAGACACTAACTCTTAACCTAGTTGTCCTTTTTTTTTTCTCCCAACTCCTCCCGCGTTAAAATTGATGTTTGACTTTGAGATGCCCAATTCTATCCTGTGGTGCTGCTGTTGGTGTGGACACTTAGTTTAATATCTTTTTTTACTTGTTATATTTCTTATTTGTTACAGATTAAAATTACTCCTAAACAAACTCAAACTGAACAAATAGATGATGGAATAGCAGAAGATGTAGAGGAGGTGGAGAATGATAATTTAATTACTAAATCTTTTGCTAGTGTTGAAGATTTGGAGCATGGAAAATTACCCCCTAAAGAAATTTTATCACTTCCAATGTTTAAGGTAAACTGCAATTTTATTTTTATAGAGTAAATAGATTTATATTTATTGTAAGTTTACTTTTTTGCAGAATTATATCATATGTATGTATCTGACGTATTAGCATTTGACTAATCCCATGGAAAGAATTTAAAATAAATGTAGCTGACAACGCTTGCATTACATACTACTTCCTGAAATATAGTTTTTATATGAAATATTATGTTGAGTTTCTTATGTTTTCACGTGAACCATGTGATATTTTAGATGCACCAGTTCAAGGGGGCAGTCAACTACAATTATAAACATCTGCAGTTGGCAACGAATAACTTCAGTGAAGAGAATAGTATTGGGCTCTGCAATGGCAGATGTTGTCATTGATGCAATGATTGCAGAAGCAGCAAGGCGTGAAAAGTATGTTCTTTCTACTTCTTTTTACTCACTCCATTTTCAAGGTACACTTTGACTTTTAGAAGTCAAAGTAACGTATAATATACTCCAGAATTGCCATAAAACATCATGTTTCAAAGAAGAAGATGGTAGATATGAAAATATATAATGTGCACAGGTGGCGATCCTTCTAGATACTACTCGTAACACATCATCCAGGTAGTTTGTTCCCTATCTTTTTTTCCCCTTATTTATTATATTCTCAGTTTTCTATCTGATTTCTGATATTTATATATTTATAAAATTTCCAGTGATACGCTTTCTGGGAATATGTGGGCAAACTTGTCTTTATGGATGCCAAGGAGAGAGGTGGCTCCTCAGGTAAGCAGTCAAATTTGAGTGTTGTAGCAATGCTGCATTTTTAATCTCCTAACTTTAATTATTTATTATTTTTAAAATTATTCCAGTCAGC